GGACGAGAAGCTAGTGACGACGTTCCAAAACAGGGATAAACACCTGCGATTATAAGTAATAATTCATTTATTTGCGCACTTATTTATTAACACCTTTAAAAAATTTAAAAAATTAACACTAACCTTATCGACCTCCCACCATGCAGGATAAAGTTTAGCTTGTCCATTGCCCAACAAAAATGATTCATCTCGTTGATTCTTCAAGTGAACTGTGTGAAAAGCCGTCGGCATTATTGTATATAGCGAATTTTTTTTATTTTTCCTAAGCTTCCTTATTATTAGTAGACGTAACACCCATGCTTCGATATGCTGTTTTACAAAAAAATACATATATTAGTGAATTACATTAATTTTTAAACAAATTAATCAAAATCATATATAAGACAAATATAGTCTTACCTCCCCATCCAAATAGCCACTGTCTTCAACCCCTAATAGCACACCCCACCAAGACCGATCAAGCAACAAAAACATTTCATCGTTGAGTTTGCTGATGTCAGTGTAACACCCTTGGCTCCGCTCATGTAGATAAAAATCAACTGCGGTCTTAGCCCAAAGGGTATTATCCACAATTGTTTCCGGTAGTTGTCTCCTCTCCACTTCAGATACCGGAAGGGTACTAGCCGGTAACTCATACGAGAGCCAACTCTCATCCATCATGTTCGGAACCGGTGGGGGTTTCTCAATACTTCGATATATTACCCCATATGAATCGGGCTCTGGAATGGTGGGAGGGACCTCTTCAACGATGACAGTGGCCTCTTGAACGGTGGGGGGGAGAATCTTGAGGGAGAATAGGGGCCTCTTGAACGATTGGAGGGGACTCTTGAGGGATGACCGGTGAGTCGGGCTTCTTCTTGCGGAGTCTTCGCACCATTGGGGTGAACGGAGACGTAATAGCACGTCCACGCCGTCTGATGCGTGAACTCCGTCGTGCAAGGAAAACCCGACGTAAAGCATCCACCTTATCGGGCCGCTAAAAAAAATTAATACATAAATCAGTAAATAAACAGACATGATATTAAACAAAGACAAATATGTTTCAAACTAGCATTGTATTCACCCAAATCATTATTCTATCATAGTTCACAAAATGCTCAGATAACATTCCAGAAGTAAGCACTTATATAAACATTTAAAAGGACAACATATATAAACATTCCAGAAGAAGAATAGTTTACTTTCGCAACACGAAACTTAAAATCGCAACGCGAAATGACTATCGCAACGCGGAAATAGCTATCGCAATGCGAAATGAAAATCGCAACGACAAAATCGCAACGCGAAATGAAATCGCAACGACAAAATCGCAACGCGAAACACAAATCGCATTGCGATTTTCATTTCGCGTTGCGATTTTGTCGTTGCGATTTCATTTCGCGTTGCGATTTTGTCGTTGCGATTTTCATTTCGCATTGCGATAGCCATTTCCGCGTTGCGATAGTCATTTTCGTGTTGCGAAAGTAAACTATTCTTCTTCTGCAAATTGAAACTTGAATGGATTGCATTACTTCAACCAAAAGACAAAAACAAAACCAAAAACAAATACTAACAAAAACAGATTGGCAGCAACCGAATGAATTACGAGTATGAAAAATCTTAAACTTACCTCGTTGCGTAGAGTATGAACCTCATTCTGCAACGATGCTACTATCTCACGTAGAGCGGCTACCTCACCGCGTAATGTAGACACCTCAACACGCCATGCACCATCGTCTTTGCGTAAAGTACCGACCTCCTCACGCAAGGCATTGACCTCATCACGTAACTCCCCTAACTCATCCCGTTGAGGTGGAGGTGAGAACAGGAGATAAATGTCGTGACATCTTTGCCGGTCGCCTATCTTGCGGTGATGGTGGAGAAGAGGCTCGATGATGTGAAAGAATAGGTGATGGCTGTCGTTGTGGAGGTGTATAGCCGGGTCGATCAGATGATGGCTCTAGGTGAGGTGATAGCTCTGGGCGAGGTGATGGCTCCCGAAGTGGAGGCTGCTCTCAACCGTTCCATCAAAAAAACGCTTACTAGCTTGCCACCAATCAGTGGCAAGCTCAGCTTCCGTGGGTGTCAGCCTGTAGAGGAGTGTTGGCCTCCTAACAATATAAAAGCTTAAACAAAGTTAAATGTGTACTAGTAATAACTTGTTTATAAACATATGGTAGTATTTATGTTAACTTACATTATTTATTGTCGTATACCGTAGTAAATCTTCCCATTGCAAGGTTCGTTTCCTCTTCCAGGAAATAGCCCTGGGAATATTATTTGAAGTTTTTATTGCATATGTCTTCATGGCGGGAAAGGCCTCAAATATCCAAATCTACAAACAATATAATAACAAACATTAGTAATTGTTAAATAATTACTTATAATTTTGGAAACATTATATAAAAATTCTTACCTTAAAGCCCAAATAAAGCCTGTCAAAGTGTATTTGGAACCATCGCCATGCAAACTTTTTCGATCATCCAAGGCAGACGATAACTTATTCCATGTAGCTTTCCATAAATACGAGCCCCACGGAAACAGGTTCCACGCATTTAGGTCTTCTACCAATTGATTAGATCATTTGGAATAGGTTGTCTGGCCTCTCTGCCTAAAAAGCCAGCATGCAAAAGAATTAGAAGGCATACTCGGACAACGTCGACGTCATCCATCCGAGTAAACCATCTTTATTATTCAAAATCTTGTCAGGTCTTCTACGTGTAGACTCGGCCTCTCCAGCTCAGGGAAAACCCGGGATAGCCATGATGGGCGGGTAATGTGTCTAGTGTACCGACCTAAATCATCGTGTCCGAAGCGTAGACCGGTGATTAAGCAAAACTCCTCCGCCCAAAACACGTATACGCCGGTGGAAAATCAAACCATATCTCTCATCACGACGTTGTATAGTCTCTGGTAGATCTCTAGTCATGGTTTGAAGAAACAGGTGTGTCAACATCGCATCTCCACCGGGATGTTATACTTTCAGCCATGGCCCGAAGCATGTATCCTCAAACATTTTTTCTTTGTGCAGGTGAAAGCTTCGACGCAATTGTTTTGGCCAGGCTGACTTTATTTCTCAAGGTCAATTGAGCCGAATAAAAGTTCTACAAAAACAATAAACATACTAAATTAGATATACCAAAAACTACACTGTGAAGATATACCAAAACAATAATAAACATAATAGTAGTAGTTTATTCTTCAAACTTAAATATGCAACACTGTGAATTTCGTATTTGTCTTTGTTTTTTGGTTGAAGTAATGCAATTCATTCAAGTTTCAATTTGCAGAAGAAGAATAGTTTCTGAAAATGAAAATCGCAACACGAAAATGACTATCGCAACGAGAGAATCGCAACGCGAAACTAAAATCGCGTTGCGATTTGCATTTCGCGTTGCGATTCTTGGTTGATTTAATAAGCAATCTAAGTGAAATGGTTAATCTATTATTGAAATTACCAGTAAACTATCATCAATTTCAATATGAAAAACCTAATAATAATGCAAAAATTTCAAAAGAAAATAATTAAAAAACTAACCCTCGTTGGTTGATTTGGTTGATTTTCCATTTCTGATTGTAAGGGTGGCTCTGAGAGATTTAGATAGACGGATTTCGCCGGAGATGGGGACGGATTTCGTCGGAGATGGGTGAGAGAGTGAGAGATGGAGATGAGACTGAGTTGTGATTTTAGGTTTTAGGTTATGAGTTGCGATTACGGGATATACTGTGGACAGTTCAGTGTTCCAATATATTTATATTCATGTTTGGAATTTAAAAATAAAATACTTGGCCAGGATACTAATGGCGCTTTGAAAATCGCATTGCGATTATGTATTATCGCGTTGCGAAAGTCAGTATCGCGTTGCGAAAGTAAGTATCTCGTTGCGATTTTTTATTATCGCATTGCGATAGTCAGTATCGCATTGCGATTTTCCCAATTCGCGTTGCGATTTACTTATTCGCATTGCGAATTTCCCAATTCGCGTTGCGATTTACTTATTCGCATTGCGAATTGGGAAAATCGCAACGATACTGTAGACCATCGCAACGCGATTTTCAACTATCGCATTGCGAAAATGCAACGCGAATTTGCGATAATGGAGATCGCGTTGCGAATTAGCGATCGCATTGCGATTTTGTTGGTCATTTTGGCAAATCCAAAAAAAGTTGGTTAAAATCGTATATTATATGGGATTTTTGGTCACTGAGGTTATTTTCTCTAATTTTTAATGTTTAATTTTTTTGTTAAAACAATTATTATTAAATATAAATAATTAGTTAATTAACAGTTAACATATTTTACTGACATTATATTTTTATGTATTTAACTAATGATGTGATTTATGTCACGATATCATTTTATGATATGGCACAGTTCACGTCATCTCTCTAGAATAATGGAAATATATCACATCACTTTTAATACATAACATATATCATGTCAATAATTAAGTACATGCGAAAATATCACGTCAGTATTATGTGTTGACAGTTTGTCAGTTAATGATTTCTATTCAACATGTGTTATTTTGACAAAAAATTAAAATGTTGTGCACTAAAATACTCTAAAAAAGAATATGGATCGAAGTAATCATTTGTACAAATATTGTATACTTTACCTATAATTAATATATCATTTTATAATTGTTAATAGTAACAAAAAAACGTCATATAATCTAAGAATTATTTGTATACTTTACCCATATAATTATTACAATCAATAAATAGAGTAAACGTAGAGCTCGCAACCGTAAGTAATGTTACACACCATTTCTTCCTGTTAAAATTTTTATCCGTCAATTCTGAACATTATGTAAATGTGTAAGAAAAAACTAGTGGCTGAAAGAGGCTGATCGAAAAGAGTCTATTTATGGGATTGGAGAAGAAGCCATGGGAATGAAGGACAAGATGACATTAATCATTACCATAGCTGAGAATTACATACATCAATGAGGTAAACGAGAAATGGAGAAACATGAACAAAAACGTTACATATCCAATGATTGAATACAAGTTCAAGCTTATTCTGCATCAGAGTCGGAGTCACTAGCATTGTAACCTGAAGAGGAAACCCAGGAATGATCATTTGAGGAAGCAGTTAACAACCATAACAGCCATTCATAATACTAAATTACAGTCGTAACGTAACCTAACAATCGCATATTACATCCATAGTTTAAAAACACAATTATTTTTACGAAAAAAATCACACCATAACATCGGCAATTTAATCGGGTATTATAGCTGTTTTCAAGGTACCTGGGCGCTTATCGCTGACTTTCCACACGGAAGACCTGTTCCTCGAAGCTTTATCGATCCAAGCACGCCCCTAATTTCAAGCATCTACATGAATCAACTCGATTCCATGAACCAAATTCAATAAGGAAAAAAACTAAACCTTTTGAACATCTTTAGCGACGCCATAGCCATTGCAGTACATCTGTCCGACAAGGATTTGCATGTTGGTATCACCGGCCTTGGCCTCGTTGAGTGCGTCTTGGAACCATCCTTTTACCAACTCGGAAACCACCTGAGCCAGCGGCACCCGGTCCTGGTCATCCATTGTCTTCTGCTTGACTCGCTCTGAGTTGACGCGTACCCCACTCGGCCTCGCCTTTTCGCGGCAAGAAACTCTGTTTCTGGATATGGGTTTTACGTGCTTTGGTCTGTGGAGTTTGTCTGATGGGATTGCTCTCGCAAAGTCTTGGCCTTTCGTCGTGCAAACAACTGATTTTCCCATAAAACAAACACAAGTTCCAAACTACGGATTATGAGAGGAGAAAAGATGGAAGAAATGGCTTTTCCTTTTTTAGCTCTTTTGATTTTGCTTTTTCTTTGATCAAGGAAAAACACAAGTTCTCGGAATAGATGCTAGAAATCGGGATAGATACTTAAAAATATATTTTTAACAAAAATACTTTACAGAAAATTATGAAATTTTAACAAAATAGAGATTATTTTGGATGGCTTAGCCTAACTTATTTTTATGTTGTTTAGTTAGTAGACAAATTTATTAAAATAATACTTTTTTTATTAAAATATTATCTCAAAAGATTTTATTTTCCATAACCACGTTCATTTTGACAATGTAAGATGAAGGTATGTCTTCAGGCTTCTAAAATTTACGTAGTAGGTTATTAGACAGATTTTTCTCTTATCAACGTTTTTTTAATATGAGATGAACATAAATTAGTATTTGTTTAAATACTTATCATTTGATATTAAATGTTCATACTCTTGATATATATATGGTGTTTGAATTCGGGATTTCAAAAAATAACAATAATTCATTAACCATTAGGATTGTTTGGTCCATGCCCATTTTGACGTTACTTGATTTTCAGCCTCCGGTGTCCGGTCTGATTTCAGTTTTCAGTTAGGCAAAGATTTTGTAAACAGATTCAGGAACATGGCAAGTAACGATGAGATGATCAAGGTTGTCGGGGATCCATTTTGTGTCCCTTACACGACGGAAGTTTTCGTGAAACAAAAAATACAATCGCTTTCCAATTCACACTATGACGTTTTGGACACCACCGGAAACACTCTGCTTCGAGTTGACGGCGGCGAAGGGGTATGACGGATCCTGCTGGCTCCCCCATCATCACTCTACGTGAACAGGTCAGCAAGATCTGAAAATTTCAAACACGACATGATTGTACAAGTAGGAACGAGGTTATACTTTGTCCTCATATGCTACTGCTCCTAAATATTTTTACTGTTAAAGAACATATATGAATATACATCTATTTAGACATCTCAATTTTAATTTTTTATTTTATTTTATGTGTTTTAAACGATATTGTAATTCCGTCCTTTTACACGAGAAACATTTTTATGTTTAGTTAATGAACAGTGATGTTATAAGGTAATGGAAAATATCAGAAACCAATATCGTGGAAACAGGAATGGCGAATTCATGAAGGTGAAAGCTCGGATTCGAATCACTTCTCTTCCATGTGAAACGATCAAGTGGTTTTCGTATAAAAAATCTCCATGTTTACTTAGAAGCCGAGACGATCGAGGTGTTTGCCCGAAAGTTCTTTTAAGATTTTATAAGTTTAAGATTTAAGATAATTAGTATTTGGTTGGAAAAATTAAGTTGAACATTGAGACTCATATTTTGGGTCAGTATGGATTTGGACAAACATAAAATATATTAATAGAATACAAAAGTTCAACACGAACCATACCCGTGATTCGTGAATCTCTCTAATCAATATAGTGCACAACATGAATGCTAGATCATTACAATATAGGATTAGATTGAATCACACGTAATAAGACTTGAACTAAAATAAATTTGGATTGAGAATTCTCATTTAACATTTACCGATAATGACATTCGAACATAAGATAATAAAAGTCTTAGGGCCTCAATTGGACGGGTTAGATCGATTTTGTATCGAATTAATTTGAATCGGGTTAAATTCAAGTTTAACGCTTTTAGATTATTTTAATGTAAGTTAATTTCGATTCAGATCATTTCACTTAAATCAAATTCACATTGAAATGGAGAAGTTTACACCAAGTTGGGCAAATAATAATTGAACACCCAATTAAAAATTCCAACTTGAAAAAGAAAATTCTTTAAAACATTTCCACACGTTAACATATTTCATGGTTTAGTCATTCAAACACTCAATTAACAGAACACCTTATTGGACTCTAAACTTCATTTTTTTTTCTTACATAAGCTCTTATGCCTTTTAACTTGTTTTATAAGGGTAAAATAACGACTAAATTAGTTAAACAATTAGAAAATTAAAAAGAATAGAGAAATAGAAATGTCCGAACATTATTTAGGAAAATAGATAATTACAAACGATAATTGATAAAGTTGTCCATAGTTAATAACATTTCTGTCCAAGTTGTTCTCTATTGGTTTTGGAAAAAATCAATGTCGGAGTCGTCCCAAGTTACCGGCAACCTTGTGAGAATCGTGCCATTTACCGACACTTTGATGACATATATTAGTAATGACCATAATGAAAAAATAAAAATTACATGGACCAATCAATGAAATAATCAAAACGTATTACACATCCTCAAACTATGACGCTTATTCTAAATTAGTCTCTTAACTTTTGAGCATTCTAATTTTCTCCCCAAACTATGACTCCATTTCTAAATTAGTTCCTAAACTTTTGAACACTCCAAGTTCATCCTCAAATTATGATCCTCAGTTCTATATTGGTCTCCAAACTTCCGAATATTTCAATTTCACCCTCACTTTCGAATGATTTTGAAGGATATTATTGGAATGTTCAAAAGTTTGGGGACCAAATTAGAATAACAGTCATAGTTTGAGGATGAATTTGAAATGTTTAAAATTTGGGGACTAATTTAGAATAAAAATCATATGTTGAGGATGGAGTTGTAATATTCAAAATTTTAGAGATAATTTAAAATGAGGGTCATAGTTTAAGGATGTGTGGTGCAATTAACTCAATAATTAATCGTGTGCAAAAACATGATAAACAAAATTCCCTTTTGGGGTTCATACTAGCTTGTAATTATGCTTGAGGGGCAACATTATTGTCCATGTGTTCTGAATTCCATCAATTAAAAATTTGGTGCAAACATTCAAAGAATATTCCCAATTTTATTAATAAGAATGAGTCCAGCTTAATGATTTCCTTTTTCCAAATTAAGTTATCAATTTTCTCATATTTTTAAATAAATACAATATATAAGACCATATAATAGTCAAGAATAATCCACTAGGGCTTCACAAGTTGTGGATATTATTATTTGAACCTTAGCCATGTACCCATCAACTGAAAATAACAATAAATTAACATATATTTTTTAATAACAACACGACTATTCTATAAATAATTTCATGTCCCAATCTTTTTGGCATGTGCTTTGTGATATTTGACTACTACTCGTAATATATTATCAAATCAGAGTACTTGTTTTGATATCCATCATTGATCTTATCTGATCTGATTCATTGCCTATCCTGTTATATTTATTATGATTTATTTAATATATTTTTTCAATTTGATCCTCATATTTTATAAAAACTGAAATTTAATCTAATTATCGGTAAATACTAAATTTTGAATTGTTATTACTACTCATTCTTAATATAAATTTTGGACTGGTAATTTTAATTCTCAACATATAAATGTGGATGAATTGTTAATTTTATTTTATACTAATTTTTAAGATTTTATAAAGTATAACGATTATATTCTGATAAACTAAAATAAAAGATTAACTTCGAAACTTGTAATAGAATAATGAGCGCATATGTATCAAATCTATCCCTTTGTAGTTTCCCAATCGGCATGTTCATTTAAGGATATGCATGAGCTTTTGTTGACAAATCAATCAAGTTAATTAATCGATGTCTACATATACCAATGAATAACTATTTCTTTATTATTTTTGCATTAATAAATTATTTTACAAAGTTCATCAAAAACAATACACTAACTTGTACATTTTAAATAGGCTTAACATACCAATTGTGTTTTATTTGATTTGAGAAATATATATTTTCTTTTGGAGCTTGATCTAATTTACTTTTTGAATAAAATCTATGTTCGATCTAATTCAATTTGGTATATATATTGATTTTTATTTGTAAAATAAGAATGTTCATTATAATTTAAGTCCAACTCTAACTCAACTTTCTAATAAGAAAAATAACCCTAGAAAGTTGAATTGAAACCCCGTCAAATCTATATATTCCATGTCCATTCCTAAGCAAGAACTAGAGTGTGCAACATGAAAAAAAACAGGTAAAATAAAAAATCATATCGTTTTTAGAAAAATAATGAAAAGAAAAAGAAATGATTAATCAAACGGTTCAGGAATCTCTCGAGTGCATTTCCATCAAAGCTTGCCTGTAGGGTTCAGTAATGATGACCTGTAGAAGATTCCGAATCATTTTCGTCATTAGCCTTATCACGTGTTTAAAATATACAACACAAGGCAGTACCCATTATTCCCTTCTCTGCAGATTTCTGTTCGCTTGGGAGATTGCATTTATTTTAATAATTTGCTTGCATTACAAATTCTTAATAATTTCATTTTATTTTCTAAATATATAATTTTTATTTTAATCAACTATATCGTATTTATTGTACAAACTAATAATTTTAGTAATAAAAGAATTATTATTATTCTTTAAAATATCAGATTCAAACACTATAAATACCATAAATGTGATTTAATGTTAAATAAATAAAAAGTATATTTAAATAAATATTATTTTATATTTATATTAATTAATAAAATATCAATTGAATTTAGACTCAATAAAAGATACGGCAAGAGTTTTATTGGACAATGAAGCGACATTACATAACAGAAATACCAACAAATCACAGGCAAATGCATTGGAACAGACACGAAGCAAACTGAAAATAGAAACAAAAGGACCCTACCAAACAGGGCCTTACATCCCTGATCTCTTTGTCTTAAGCAAGTTGGAGACCAATAAGGAGCTCCTCTTTTTTATTTATTATATTTATAATAGTCACGGGTGCAACTGATCTGAGAGAGTGAAATGACTAAATTGCCAGGACAAGACCCGGCACTGATTTTCCAACCCTGTTGGAAAAGCTGCTCTCCCAAACGGGAGGACAATGCAGGGAGGTAATCTCGGCCGTCGATGACGACGGTGATGGATTGTAATCGGAAGGTGGAGATTGGGTTGTGTTTCCCAGTAGGGTGACGGTGAGAGAAGTGTTCAAGTACTCCCTCACTTGGGTGATTATCCCATCCGTCACGGTCCAAGCGTGAACCCAGGAGGTTGAACTGCTGTGATCGCAGCCTTCGACGACGACGATAGATCCGAAGGTGGTGAGTGAGAGAGGGTCAAATTCGAAACGGAATGAATCGTCGGAGGAAGCTCCGGTGAGAAGGCGCATCAAAAACTGGTGAGTCGGGGGACCGTGGAACCACCATTCAAGGTCGGTTGCAAGGATTTTGTGAACGGTGTCGACGTCTCGAGTGTTTAAGGCCTCATAGAGGGCAAGAACCACCTCTCGGTTCTTGTTGGATTCGTCCACAACCTTTTCCAGCGAGTTAGCCAGTTCGTGAAGAAGAAGAATGTTCTGGGCTGATATTTCTCGAGAAGAACGGAAAAGGAAAACCAGAGATAACTGTCGAGCAACTTTTGTTTGGATGAATGTGTGTTTATATAGGAAAGATGAAGAGGACATCTACTTGGTTTTGATTCTCTACGCTCGTTTCTCGTCCCGTATTCTACTCTCAGATTTTCGATTATTTAAATTTAAATAATTTCATATTTGTATTATTTTATGTTTAAATTAATTGAGTTTATTGATTTGATTTTTATAAGTCGGATCATTATGAATTTGAATTGAATATAACTTCAGTAATTTCGTGTGAGACATTTTAGATTACTTATTTGTGTTATTTTTAAGTTTAACTTATCTTAAAATCAATATCAAATTAAATTTGAGTTAATTGAGATTCAAGTTTAATATTATTAATTGAATTATTATAGGATACATTATTAATGAAAATATTTAATAAATAAAGAGTATTAGAATATTATTAAAAATTTAAAATTTTAAATATATTTTAAAAGATAGTTATATTTGGATAAATTTCAATTGTAGCACCCAAGAAGTAGAAGACTGCTACAAAGGTACAAAGTAAATGGGATCATCAACAAAAATTTTAGGTAATACCTCATGCTATACAAAGCTTATTATTTACAACGTCCGAGTTGTTAACCTTCACCCTAACAACCTGCTTTATAGCCTTCACGGTCCGAAATCTTATGCTAAATATGTGAAAAATCATCTCTTTTCAAACATAATATATATGAGCACACCAAACAAATTTTAAAATGAGAACCAACAAGGACTTCCCGATCAAACAAGAAGCAGCCCAAGCAAGCTCCTTTTCCCAATCTGTAACATCTCTTCTCAAACCACAAAATCTCAAAACCTTCCCTTAAACGCAACACGAAAATGGACAGTTGAAAAGCAAATGATCTCTAGTCTCTAAAGTAACACTACATATCACACAATTAGGATCAATCAAAATATTCATTCTCAAAAGCCTATCTCTCGTGTTAAGTCGGTCAAAAAGGACTAACCATGCAATGATCGAATGCCTAGGAACCTGTAAAGGGAGGCTCCCTTCTCCTTATCTCACCCCTCAACCAAATAGTGTTAATCTGTTGCACTCACAAAACTGAAGTGAAAATAGGAGCGACTTCCTCTCTCATTTTGAAAATCTTCCTGAAGCTCCAATTAACATTGCTGCTACAATTGAAAGATAGTTATTGTTATTTGAACAATGTTCATTTTTTAAATATCAAATAATAACTCTTATTAATGTTACATGATATAAATTATATTGGGTTGATATTTTGAGTTAAGAAGGACATTTGCACGTTATTAATATCATCTCTTAAATTATTTAATAAAATATTTTTAAAAGAATTATTTATAAAAACAACACTCGTTTTAAGATTTGATATATCACATAAGTGAAGGGCACAACCAATCAATAACACTTTCGAAAGACATATTTGATTGAACGTATTTTTTCTTTGCGTGGCACAACATATCGTAAGTATAAATATTAAGTTCATATTAATTGAAAGATATGATTGATATAGCGTGTTTTCGTAACCACCACCATCTTATTGAAGACAATATATATAAATTGAAAAAAAAAATTGATGTCCATGTCCATCACACTGTAACATCAATTCGTTCATTAAAAATTAAAATTAAAATATTAAGAAGTCGCACTACATCAATAACGTCTTTTAATTAATTTTTTTGGCTAATACAGATAATCTAAAAATTAACTGGACTCGGTGGAATCCGTCTGCAGAACAGCAAGCATATCTTCAGGCGGATGTGTGAAGTGTGTGATTCCCATATCAGCAAGGCTACCAGGACATTAATAACAACATTTTGTTCATGACGTATATGTCGGATTACCGTCTTCCAATCTCGATCTCAAAGTTTATAGATGGCATCAATCAATGCGCTTCCTAGAAGAGCCTCGTTTCATATTTTTGTAACCTTAAGATTATCCGTTTCCACTTCAACCTGTCGGAATCCTAGCCTTCAAGCATGTATCAAAATGTCATGAACCGCCCATAGTTCGGCAATAAGAACAGAACATATGTTGAAAAGTCAACAATTGCATGCCATTTTCGGTGCACAAGCAATTTCGGTGCAAGTGGGAGCAATTAGTTGGAAAATTATTGATTTTTTGGAAATGGTACAATCTCACATTTAGTCATTGTCCTTTAGGGTATTTTCAAGATTAGTCTTTAATCTTCAACTATAAATACCCTAGCTCATTTAGCTTCAAAATCATCCCAAAACATTATAGCTTTCTTCCAATACTAGAGAATTTAGAGAGTTTCTTAAGAGTTGTTTTTTCATTTTTATAAAGAGAGAATTATCATTGTTTTCTCCTTGGTAGATCGAGAGAAGTTATAATTCTTATTTTCTCAAAGTTAAATTCTTCTACTGTTGCCCGTGGTTTTTAACCTATTTTATTTAGGAGTTTTTCACGTAAATTCTGTGTCTCTTTTATCTTCATTTTTATTTTCTCAAATTATCAGTTGCGATTTTGCTCTATCCGATAGCCGTCTTCTGCAATAATTGGTATCATAGCCAGATTTGAGTGTGTAATATCTGCTTATTGTCTTTGTGGTTGCCACCAAAATGTGGATCCTCCAACATAAGAAAGTATGAAGGTATTACCCATTCTTTGAAGGTTCCAGAGAACTATTCACGATAGTGAAATAGTGCGAGCTATCCGAAATAGAAGCTATGGCAACGAAATTTGATATTGAAAAATTCAATGGGAGAAAATTTTCATTGTGGAAATTGAAGATGAATGTCATCCTGAGAAAAGACGGTTGTCTAGAAGCTATCAGTGAAAGACCGGTGGATTTCACAGATGACAACAAATGGATCGAAATAGACGGGAATGTTATGACAAACTTTCATCTAGCATTAACATATAAAGTATTGTCAAGCATCGAGGAGAAGAAGACAACTAAGGAGATATGAGATCATCTCACCAAACTGTACGAGGCCACATCACTGCACAATAAAATTTTCCTTAAGAGGAAATTGTACACTCTCCGGATAACAGAATCTACTTCAGTGACGGAGCACTTAAACACGCTGAACACTTTATTTTCTCAGCTTACATCCCTAAGATGTACAATAGGAGAATAAGAGCGTGCTGAACTTCTACTTCAAAGTCTACCTGATTCGTATGATCAGCTCATCATCAACTTGACAAACAGTAATGTCACCAGTCTAGTCTTCGATGATGTTGTAGCTGCTGTTCTACAAGAAGAAAATCGGCGCAAGAACAAGGAAGACAAACAAGTAAATCTGCAACAAGCATAAGCGTCGACAACGATGAGAGAAAGATCAACAAAACGTGACCAAAGCAGCAGTCACAAACATGGTAGATCGAAGTCGAGGAGCAAGAAGAATTTAAAGTGTTACAACTGTGGAAAGAATGGTCACTTGAAGACAGATTGTTGGAGTCTAAATAAAAACTCCAATCCACAAGGTAATACCGCAAACACTTCAGATGATGGAAATGCTCTATGCTGTGAAGCGTCAACCACCGTGGAAGGAAGAAAAAGATTTGCAGATATATGACTCATTGATTCAGGAGCAACATATCACATGACCTCAAGAAGAGAATGATTCCATCATTATGAACCTGTCTCAGGAGGATCTGTGTATAGTTGCAATGATCATGCCTTAGAGATCGTTGGCGTGGGAACCATCAAATTGAAGATGTATGATGGAACAATCAAAGTTGTTCGAGATGTGCGACACGTGAAAGTCCTGAAGAAAATTAATTATCCTACGGATTGTTGGATAATAATGCAAGCAATATTAAAATACGGAAATGAATCATGAAGGTGTTCCGTGGAGCGCTTGTGGTGATGAAAGGTGAAAAGATAGCTGCAAACTTATACATACGGAAATTAATTTTCGGTTGTCTTTTTTAGCAAAAGTTATAAATTTAAAATTTAATTTATTTATTCGATTCTAATTATTTACCTTTGATTATTTTTCAAGTAAATAGTTGTACTAACGTTTTTTAATGATTTCAGATTTTTCAAAATTGTCATCTCTAGCTCTATACCCGAGCTCCGAACCCTTTTAAGTGGGGGTGAAAGCGACGTCTTCGTGTGAATTTTTTCACCGTATGGGCCTAGCAAGTAACCTTCGGGATTCATATACCCTTATGCATTCGTGTGAATTTATTCTCCGCATGGGCATAAGGGAATGTGTTCTCTCGAGTTTAACTTAGTCCACACAAGCCTGTGATGGGTTTAGGACTAAGGGTCTGGCAAGCCCAAGGGGGGCACCGACAAGGAGAACTCGAGTACCGTTTTTTAGAACCTAAACCGGAAGAGTACAGGGAATTAGAGTCCACCCCAAAACTTCATTCCAAACCCTAGGCTGTTTTGTTTTATGCTTTATTTTCTGTTCAAAGCATGCGAACTAGACAAATATGCGGTTAGGATTTGTTTGAAATTAGCATGCGAGATAGAAATCATGTCTGGGTAGGAATATTAAGCATTTTTGAGTAGATATCATGTGTGGTATGACTTTTATTTTTCATGATTATTTTTTATTATTTTTATCTCACTAACTCTTTTTTTCTCTTTCATTTTATTTTCATCACTTGCATCATTTAAAAGAGGTGTTTATCCACAAAAAACGTGTTTGCTAAACATGAATAATCTGCATTAATGGACAAAGGGGTTGTAATACAAGAGATGAAAATGCAGAGGACAGTCTACAAGGAGACTATGTGTCACATTTAATCCAGAAGACGTGGTGCCCGCAATTGAAGAGTATATCACTATACTGCATTATAAAGGACTCAATGAACCGGGTCTACATCAAGAACAATGAAATTCTAACTTTGAAGAACTGGCTGGCAGAAGTTGCAGGGGGAAGATGAAGACCACCGATCTTAGGAGTCACTTCAAAGACGACAATGGCAAAATGATAACTGAAATTGGAGACCATTGCTGACGAATTCAAGAAATAGACAAATGGACTTCACATAGTTCCTATCAATTAAGGGCTCCAATAACGTATTCG